GTGCGTGTGTGTGTGTGTGTGTGTATGTGCCTAAACCATTCTAAACCCTCATGTGCTCAAGGAGAATGTCGTCCATGTGCTGCCGGGGCAACTCTTCAGCTCCGGCCGCTGTGGAACCCCAAAAAACTCGTACACATTAGAAGCTTTAGATCTCAGATATTTGGACCAAGGATCACCCGCCATAGACCTTGCCCCGCTAAGAACGTCCGCGGCCAAAGGCTCGTGAACGCGAGCAGCCTCAGAGCCCAACTGGGGGTTTAGGGGTTTCGACTCACACACTCGAAAGCTGGCATGGCGTTCGACCGTCCGAGCCTACTACTGTGACATCGTGGGGCTAGGGGTTTAGGGTTTCGACTCACACACTCGCACAGCAGGCATGGCGCACAACGGGTTTAGGGTTTAGGGTTTAAGGATATTTGCAATACGAAGCCATCAGCTCCAATACTAGTCTCTCTATCCCAAGCATTCTGGGGAGTTAATACATCCTGTGTCAGCAGCAGGGCTAGAGATTCATCCAGCTTTTGGGACTTGTGCAAAGGCTGCACAAGTGTCTCTGAAATGAAACCTGAGCGATTCCGGATGCGCTGGCTCCTCCCTTCCAAACTATCCAACCAAATGGCCAACAGCCTCAAAAGCCTCACCTGGTCAACACACTTGTGCTGCGAATGACTGTCCCTAGATCCAACAATCTTGTCTAGAGGTTTTGCTCTGCAGACTTTATGGGGTCTCGGGTCGAAGTGAACTGCATTGGCTGTACGTCTGCAGGGAGATGCGACATGGAGTTCACCTCTACCAAGCCTGCAATCAACCGACGGAAATACGGAAAACAACCTTTCGGCAACCGAGCCGTGATGGGGCTTTCAGGAGTGTGCAGCAGAAGCGCCCTTTGTAGTAACACTTTGACTGAATTCTGAAGGTGTGGCACGCTAGGGGGAAGCGATTCTTAGCCAAGGTTACTGCTGCCTGCTTCAGACCATGAGCGGCCCGAACTACCGTCTAAACTGAGCTGGGCGAGCTTCGATGTGGACAAGGTCCAAAGCCGCCTGGCAACAAAAACTCCGCCGCGATGGTGGCTGCAGATTACTAAACGCACAGAAGCCCTGGATGCCTGAACACATGCTCCACTCTCCACCCGTCCCGTGAATGCTCAAGTCCGTTCGATCAGTGCTAGGGTCAGCTTCAGGGTGTTACATATAGAGCTTGGGGACTATAGGGACTGTGTGACTGTAAACTAATTCAGAAGTATACTGATAAGACGAAGTCTTTTGCATATGTATAGATGTCTGATTTTAAAGATGAATATCAACTAGGGTTTAGGGGATTAGGGGGTTAGCGATTGGGCCACCAAAAAATATGTCACAAACTTATGTCCATGTTTGCAACCTATCCTGCCTTCAGCGCTTGAGGATCAGCCCAGGCAGGCGTGGTGCGGTTGATCCCCGGACCCCGTCTGTTCTCCTCCTCTGTGGGGGATGGGCAAGCTTAGACTAAGCTGCAGGGTTGCATAGAAGCGTCCTTTTGGCTGAAGGCTTGAGGCGCACAGCTGCCCTCGTCGTGTGGACTGGGAGGGAGAAAGTCTTGATGTGTCTTGATGCTACAATTTTGCTCCTGGAATCTGCGTGTTCATGTGGCGGCTACCTCCTGGTGAATTGCAAGCCCAGCTCCTGCAAGTACGGCTGTGGCGACAAAACCACGTCTGCCAGCACAGCGGCCTCGGCGCTCATTAACTACGCAAATTCCGGCAAGGGCGTGCTAAGGCCGATGGAAAAACCGAACAATGTAGGGGCCTTAATAATTAGAATATGGTTTTTGAGGTAGTTTAGTAAGGAGCCGTACGGGTAATTATTCAGGCCCTTCTATCACACAATAAGCTCCCTCCTCTCAGGCCCCAAAGTTTCAGTGAAGTCACGCATCGGTCGGGGCCCAAGTTTCTTGCCTGGGCCAGAAGGGAGAGCATGTCCTCTACCTCGGCTGGGTCCGGGCAGGAGATGGTCTGGCAGGCTCGATGATCTCTTCTCCAACCTACTTGATGATTTCGCCTGGCCACATAACATGTTGCATACATTGTATGCATATAGATAGCTAGACAGATAGATGTAGGTGTAGGTGTAGGTGTAGATGTACTAGATGTAGATGTAGGTATACATGCAGAGAGAGAAACAAAAAGGCTGAGCCACAGGTCCGACTCCTGCTACTCGGGGGTTCATAGGACACAGCAAGCACACGGACAATCAGGCTGCAAAAGGAAGCTTCGAGCTCGGAAACTGCCCGAGTGTTGACTTGCTGCATGAGCCCTACACTTTGTTTGTATCTTTAGACGCAGCCGGGCCTTCTTTCAGAGGAGCCCCCCCCCCTCAGGAGTGGTTGGAACCTCTGGGACAAGCCGCTTTTCCCGAAGTTGCAGCCTTAAAGCCACAAAGCCCCACGAAAGAATAAGTCAGAGATCCAACCATACGGTGGAAAAAATACGTCGCCCTGGCGAGTCTTTTCAATATCCTAGACCAAAGGTTGTCACGCCCAAGAAGCCTTCCAAGACCCCCAGTTCCTTCTTTTCCCACCACAGAAGGCAGCAAAGAAGCAAGCATGCTTTTCGTTTGCCTGCATGTGAGTATCCGGTAACGGCTTCAATGCATACATTGTGTACAGAAACCTGGTCCTGCGAAGCATACAGAGAGAGAACAAGACTAGAGATAATGGGCGACATCAAAACTTCGGCAGATAGACGAAGACTTGCTGTGTACATTTATTTGAGGTACAGGTATGTGCGCCTCAATACCTAGGTAGATGCATACATGCATGCCTCTTAAAACGCATGCGAATGCACAAGCTTCAAACCGGCTCGGTAACTCCCGAGTTCGCAAATGAGTGTCTCCTGGCCAACGCCCTCAAGCCCAAACACTTCACGCCCAGTCACTTTGGCCGAGTTGAACTGGAAGTCCTGCATGATTGGTGTTGGCATCAAAACCGGAGGGACCGAAACAAACGAGATGGCCTCATGTCCAAAAGTTGACGATAGATCGAACAGCGTGTCATCAGTATTGGGTATTCAGTGTTGTGAACTTGATTTAGTAGCACCACTGGTACTGTGATGTCAGCATTGATTTCTTCTTCAAACGGCCGTTGTCATCGATATGTGCATGTATGTAGATGTGAGAGTGGCTGTGTTTCTCTGTGTCTCTCTGTCTCTCTCTCTCTCCCTCTCTCTCACTCTCCGAAAAATAGTGTATGTATGTATGTATACATACATATATATATATATATGACAAATGCAGATTTCACTTGTATCTGTGTACTACCGTACTACACTGTTACACGCATATGTACTCAATGCGACATAAAGATCATTGTATGGCACGCGGTTTGGCGGGCAGAGAGCACAGCTTCTTCTGGCCGATAGAGCAGAAGGCTACCGACGGATAGGTCATGGCCACTTTTTGAAGCAGGGCTCTACAGCTATTCCTGCCCCCCAACCAGGAGCTCATGTCGGGACGGGACGGCCCGTCATGGGTTGCCGTGGCAAATGAATGTCGGACAGATGCCTGAGTGTGTTTCATTCATATTAAAGACTTTTCAGGACATTAACAATGAGCTTCAAGGTCCAGCTAGCAGTCCATTCAATGGGGCACTGCACTCTTTGCTGCGCGCGTTTTTCCACGAATGATTGGGTGGCCAGGGGGGGAGGGTGAGGGGGGCATCTATCTGGACTTTTCAGCTTTGGGTGTTTATGAGGGCGGCGGGGAGTGGGGGATGGTGCATCAGTAGCGTCTGACGTGTGCCTACCGATGTTTTCGGCGAGGAATGACGACGTTGATGATGATGATGATGGTGTTGAAGCTTCAGGAAGAACAGGTTGCAGATGACACTGCCGGTGCTTGGTGGTGAGAGTGGCGAGCAAGATGACGATGGTTATGGTGATGATGGAGTTGGCGATGGTCATGGGGAATGCTGCTGGTGATGTTGGTGCTGATCTTGACGTTGATAGTGATGCCGGAACTGTGAGTCGCAATGTTCCTCGGGCATCCATTCATGCAGAACTCTACGGCTCCTTCTGCTAACGCAGCCGCGACGCGTCATGCTGGTGAACCCTTTGCTTTCCTGGCTTTCTTGTGTGCTCACATGGGTCGTCTTTGCTCGCGTGGCGCGTAGAATCTACTCTCTTTACTGCAATCGCTGAGCTCTTCTTCAGGCTTGCCGCCATGCTGCCAAACGTCCACATGCGAAGTGCTTGGAGCAAAATATTTAGAAATTTAGTAGTGGCAAACGCGTCTGCTGTCCCGAAAGTGCATCGGCTCCCAAACCAAATCACACGCTTAGGCAAACTACCGACGCACTGACGGACTGTTACAGTATTTCCGAGAAGTAGGAGCAACATCCCACCAAATATTCATGTCGTAACACCAGGATCAAACAACATATCTAAGCCAAAGCAACAGCATCCGATGACGATTGCTATACCCGCCTGGGACACCAGCACTTCTTCATCATCCACGTAGAAGAACACGGCTGACCTGCAGACGGCTTTCTGAAGTCTTAACTTAACCAACTACACACCAAGAACCCCAGGCTTAGAATTCACGTGGAGGGTCCGAAGATTGAACCAGTAGTCACTTCTGACCTCTGTACTTCATAAGGTTTTCAATGTCCGCTGCAAGTGAGAATGGCTCAGAGGTATCTCCAACCCACTACGTGCGCAGCACTTGAAATGTGGACGCCTCACAAGTTGTGCTGCAGCTGATGCCTGGACAGATGCGGTCCTAAACGAAAGCCAGTAAGAAAGCCCACACTCGAAACCCGAACTGTGGGATGCGTTTCCTCAGGCCTGTATGTTTCTAGCAACATAGACTGCAGAGCCTTGAAGCCTCTGTTGCTCTGAACACTAAGCATTCGACTGGAATTTCATCAACTTACATTTCCGAAATCCTCCCCTAAAATCCTGAACCCTATATCCAAAGCCGAGTTAAAGCCGACTTAGGCCCCGGGGGCCTGCTCAGCTCCTCACCTCAGATCACAGTTCCAGTCTTGAGCCCTCGGGCCCGCAGGGCGCAGAGGGGTGCGTCGACGAAGGAGAGCCGGGGGACCTCAGCTCGGTAAAGGGAGTTTAGATGAGCGTTATATGGGGATAACATTTTTCAAACGCCTAATATATAGTCTGCAAGACTAGCATGTATATGGTGTATACACACGCATACTTCTATATCAACTTGTAGCATACTTATATAGATAGATACTACCATGGCTTCGTTCATGGGGCTTTGTCAGGCTAATCAAGGATGGTAGAAGCATTTGCCGCACGGTTCTCGGAGGATGGCACGGACCTCCTTCAAGGATTCAGGTTGCAGGGTTTATTTCTAAAGGTCCTCTAGCCATTCCGACGAGCGAAGCAAGGCGCCGCAGGTCCATCAGCTGACTGAGAACATCAGCAGGACACCAATGAGTTGATAGGTCAGGGCCTTTTACGTTTTCGACTCTCACACTCGCACCAGGCAGGCAAGGTTGCACATAGTCACGTCACGCTAAGAGGGACCCTGTAGCCCGGGAAGCAAACGAAGTAGATACCACACCAGGTAAGTAGACCTAAACAACACACGTAGTCGACAGGCCCCAGGCGTCCCCACAGCAGGAGCATTATCCCACTCTCCTCAACCTATCACTTGTCTAGTAGTACAGGGCATGGATACCATACCATCGAAGGCTTGAAAATGGTGTGAATTCGACAGACCTCTACTTGGTATACGCTACACGCACTCACACTCACATGCAGAAGGCTCCAGTGGCATCAATCATGCTCATAAATTCACGTGTGCACTTCCGTGGTGCACAATATTCACTGGGATGTTGGTACATGCAGACCAGCTCGGGAGCACCAGACGACGGCCCACGACCGCCCACTTGTCCATCCTCTTGCTTTCCCAGCTGCCCATGCTGTCACAAACCATGCAATATAGAACAAATTCATGTGCTCGTGCCCCGCGATGCAACACAAGAGGCTATATCCGCACAAATTCCCAAATTCTCCGACAACGATAAATTCTCATGGTCCTCATTGATCACGACCCATGCAGTGCAGGATAAATTCGGGTGCCCATGCCTTACGATGCAGCACCAGAGGCTGGACTTGTATAAATTCCAAATTCTCCCACATGCAACAAATTCCTGCATTCTTCCAGAGGCTGGTCCAGTATAAATTCCAAATTCTCCAGTAGGAAACAAGTCCCTGCATTCTCCAGCGGTGGCAAACTCACGCGTCATAAGTGCCACTCGTCAGCACCAGCATCATCCACCCCTTTCTGGGCTCGATGCTTGTCGCAGCACGGTTTCCCAACATGGCAGGTGAACCCCACAAACTGGCCAGCACATGGTTTCTGCAGTCAGCTCCACTCGGACCCAGCAGTCTATCAAAAACAGCATGGCGAAGTCCTCATCTGGCTGCGCCGGCAACAAGATCCTATCCCTTGGCCTGAATTCTTCCAGCATATCTAGCAACCCATCCAGGTATCGGGACAGCGCCGGGATGCGCAGTGTCCACCACAGCCAGGCTCGCTTGGTCCCCCGCAGCCACCAGTAAAATGACTCAGCAACATGCATAGCCAAGCTCTCTGGCATGCAGTCCAGGTGATCATATACTTCCAACTCCCAGATTTGCCTGAAAGGCAGCAGGTCCTGGACTGGAGGCAAGTCATGCTGCGGTGGCGGCGGGTATATGGCGCGGCCCAGGCGAGGGTTAAGGTTACGTTTTAAGCTTCAGGGATTCTTTGCCGGGTGGAGGAATTCAAGCATTTATAGGGACTTTAAGACTAGACTAGACTTTGGGCTGCTGAATTGTGGGGTAGGGGCTTTGCTTTTCGGGCCGTTGCGCTTAGGTTAAGATCAGCAGTCAGGTTCTTGATGGGTTGGGGGCCACTAGCAGAGGGACGCGCGTGGTCGACATGCAGCGTTTCCCAGATGCAAGCGGATTTAACAGTGGTGAAGACGTGTGTGAAGTTATTGTAGGCAAGGGGAGTGGGACCTACTAGTTAGTATTGGACAAAAACCATGAAGTTGGGATATCCCATAAACCCCCTTTTACCCAAAGCAGTAGGGTAGGCACGTGTAGGGATGCTGGGGAAATCCCACCCAAAAGCTTATGTTTTGGTGCATGTTTAATAAAGTCCTGCAAGAGAAGCCCCAGTCTACAAGACCCAAGTCTTAGGAGGGGCCGTCAAGATGCTGCAGTGTGGCTCACTGAGAGCACAGAAGTCAATCATTGGGTCTCATTGGGTTTCTGGATGCGAAGTCTTTCGGGCTTAGACATTAGGCCTTGCAGGTGGTCTCGAAAGATGAGTTTGCACATGCGGAGTTGCCGACATTATCTGAACTAGTCTGCCGACACGGAATCCGCAGGAAGGTACGTGGTGGGGCCATCTCCAGCTGGCAACCCCAAAAAAAAGGCAGCAAGCAACTTGGGCCAGATCCCAAAGCCGCCATGCTTTGAGGTGCTGGTGGTGTAGCCTCTAGACGTGGGAAGGAGTATGCAACGCGCGTGTTTGCGTGTGCTTGTGTGCATGTGTGAGCGCACGTGCGGCCACACAGGTGTCTGCGAGTGGGTCGCCAAGGAAGTGACGGCATCCAATGCTGAACAGGTTGCCTCAAACCGCTGCGTCAATATCTGCGCCAGCCGCGCGCGACCTCTGTCTGAGACCCCGGGTTAGACCGACGGCCCTCAATGACTCAACAATCTCCAAAGGTTTGAGCAAGCCCCGCAAGAGTTCTCCTGGACCGAGTTTGATCGACTGGAGCCAGACTATATTTTAAGAGGGGTGCGAGTTTCGGTGCTCTGTTGGGACGGCTGCTGGGATTGTCAGAGATTGAAGATGGAGCAATGCTACTGCTATAGGAAGCACTTCCACTGATGGAGATCCAGCCGCCCTTCTACCAAAGCTGCAATTCGGGCCCCACTCGAAGTTTCGAAGACCATACTACAGGGGCCTGAACTATAATTTGTAGTACTCCTCAAGGTTTCCCGTACATCAGTATTGGACAAATATGCTCCCAAGTTCCCAAGTAGTATTGGAGTGATTCAGGCCCCTAGATTTCCTGACCGTTTCTTCTTCGGCCAAGTTTCCCGTCTGTTTCAGCAAGCCCGGTAGGAGCGGGGCAACCAGCTGGTAGTCGGTCGCCCTGGGGCTAGACGCGGCAAACTTTACGTTTTAAATTCGTCTCACTCGTCTCCTTTCTTTTGGACGCCTACAAGAGAACAATCAGCTGGACAATTGGCCGGGAAGGTATGACTCGGCAGGACTTGGTCTTGCCTTCGGAACAGGCTATTGCCCCTTTCATGTTTCAGGATCGACTGGCAGCTGAAGCGAAAAAACACAATCAAAAGAACGATCACCACTCCCTGCCTGATTCCCAGCTTTCGGAATGCCCAAGAGAATGCCTCTGCCACTGTTTGAAAATCGACCTGCCATGCGCTGGTTGTCGGTCTTGCACTACTCGTAAAGCCTTATGCGCGGCTCTTGACCCAACTGTGTCTCGCCACTGGCAAGCCCAACATCTGCACCCACAAATGTTGCGAGCATGGACACATCCAAGCAAAGGCCTATCTATATATATATATATGCATGCATTGCAACACTGTGAGCCAGCACAATTAGCAGCTGTGCAAAGAACTGGCCTTGCCAACATCGGGCATCGTGTACTCGCCACCACGTGAAGTGTTTCCTTGCGGCATGTGAGCTTGCATTTCGACCGCCTCAATAAAATTAGCTGTTCACCTTCACCTTTGTCTGCTGTTTTGCCGCACATTGTCCTGCATTGCTGATTTTTAAAGTGGAGTCCGTGCATCGCACGAGCTCAAACGGCCTCAGACTCACCGATGCTCTTTCTGTCTGCCTCTGTATAGTTAATGAGGAGCACAATGACCTCACTAAGCCGAAGCCGCAAAATTCTTCGCGTAAAGCCCCCGGAATAAATGCAGAGCCGGCCTTCAAAAGCATATCCCCGCTTTGGTTGTTCCAAGCGCCGCGCATTGAGCGCCTGAGGACTGAGGACGCTCATGCTCAATTGAACCCCGAGCCTCAACTTTGCCACTTTTTGGAACTGATGCGGGGCCCGACAACCTCCGGTCTCTGGGAAGAAATGGTGTAGACAAGAAACGAAGAAGATAGTGCTGTTTGCTGTTAGAGCTTTGCATTCCTCTAAAGGAGCCGCTGGTGCAGCACGGTTTTGGCTTGGTGGCGCAAACCTTCGCAACTTCTGGTTCCTAGCCAAACCTCGTTGCACTCAAACTGGGATGACAAAGCCCGGCCTGCTCTGAGCAATCTGCATGCATACTGATGAACACACATACGTAAATGCCCTTGAACCGTTGGAAAGAGTCCATCTGCATCCATCCATCCATCCATCCATCCATGCATGTATGCATGTATGACTCATGTACGCAAGTACGTATGTGTGTACGTACGTATGTATGTATGTATGCATGTATGTATGCAAGTACGTACATATGTATGTTTGTATGTATGCATGCATGTGTGATTGCATGTATGGACTTATCGACGAGTATCTCGATGCACATGTATGCGTATCTCTATGGGTGTAAGTAATTGTGCAGCTGTAATTGTCAATCTGTCTGCCTGCCTGCCTAGCTGTCTATCTACCTACCTATCTACCTGTCGATCTATCTATCTATCTATCTATCTTTCTATAAATCTATCTAACTATCAAACAATATTAATCAACCTATCTATCTATCGATCTACCAATCTATCTAGGTACCTGTCTACCGACTATGAAATGTACATAAATATCAACACAGACATGGCTGAAGCCAAGCGACCTGTGCGTTGCCGTGCCTTAGACCAGACTCTGAGGCCGTGCACGCGACACATTATAATAGGGACCAAAGCCCTAGGACTTGGAATAGGGTTCTTTATGAGGCTCCTTTACGGGATTGGGATAGGTGCATTCGCAAATAGAATAGGGTTCCTGCGCGGCTACTATAAGGGCTTAGTATCGGGCCTTAAAAGTGATCCTGCATTACATATTTACGTTGATGACTCATGACCCTACCTTGCCCTACCATGTACAGAATACAGAATGCAAGCCGTACACGCATACCCTTTTTGCCGATCCGTATGCTTCGTGTTCGCACTCCTGTACTTAGTCTGTATGAGCAAATCGAAAAATTATACATGCAATAATGGCAACCTTAATTGGTGATGCCAACAGTAAAAAGATACTGATGTACACAGCAAACCAATGTGTACGAGCTGTTCTGCTATTTCAACAAGACCTTCACTCCCCCTCTTGTTCAGCCTCTTTCTCAGCTCAAGCCTTAAACCCGAAACCCGAAACCCTGAACCCTAAACCAAGATACCCTTAAACCCTAAACCAAGATACCAGAAACGCTTCTTGTTCCAGTGGTTGCCACCGCAACTCCAGCCAACTCTCTGCTTGAAGGAGGAGTCCCATCCTCACAAAAATTGAGGTCTTCAGATGTTTTCCTCAAGCCCGAGTTAATTGGGAACTTGCACTGCAGCAAGAGGCTCAATTCACCACATAAGCGTGGACGACATCTGGCGACGAAAAGATATCTTACACATCTGTATAACATCTATCAACTCTTCAAGGTCTGGCTCGTCACTGCCATTCGTGCTCCTGCGTCTTTGCAACGCGGAGCTGTCGGAGGAATCATGTGCTTTGCTTCCAAGAATCGCCTACCCCTTCTTCCTATGAACTGTCAGAGAGACGTATCCAAGCCCCAACCCTAAACCCTGAGGATGCATTGTGGCCTGTTGGGTGCACGACTGTAAAGATGCCAGAAAGTCCATGGGGGACAAAGAGTCGACGCCCTTCTATGGTCCTAATGCACCAGGCGTCCAATGCCATCCATATCATGCGAGAAAATGGCCGGCACACAGGTCTCCTGGAATCATACACAAGATGGACCATGTAGAGGGGCTCAGGACCCAAGACTGCAGCAAAATCACGCGAAGTCTGCGCTAGCTAACGCATGGTGCATCTCAGCCGACGGCGGTGGTGGACCTAACGAACTCTCCAATGAGAACGTGCTTTCATAGAAGGCTGAATTTCTTTATACCAGTTTATTGGCTTCCGCTGGGTATCAGCTTCAGATAGGTCGATTCGGTCATTCCTGGCTGCAGGTTTCACTTGGTTTGGCTGCACCTGGGACTGCCCTGTGCCCTTACTTACAGGCCAACCCCAAACAAAACACCCAGTAGCCTCCTCGAACTTCAGCCCTATACCAAAGAGATGGGCCCCAGCCCGAGAATCAAGCTCTAAGCCCTCTCCCATCTCCTGCTTGGCAGCTCCGTCTGCCCAGCATTGAATAGTGGAGGCTAAGAAAACCACACCTTGGGAGTCTCTGGCTTCAGGGGTCCGAAAAACCCGAGTCGTGGAGGGTAAACTGCTGCAAGTGCCTGACTCGCTTGATGCCCTCTTCTTTCGGGGAAGCTACATGGGTCCGATTACCTGCTTGCTTTGGTGGCCTGCAGCAACCACAACAACAACAACAGCAACAACAACAACAGCAACAACATGGTCGGCGACAACGACAACGGCAGTGCCAGCGACAATACCATTAACTCCGACAGCGGAAGCAGTAGCAGCATCTCAACAGCAAAAGCACAACAGCAACTTGTAGAGACAGAACAGAAGCGGGGATAGGATATTTACGACGAGGCCAGTGCTTCAGTTTCCTTCATCGTCGCCAAAACTTTAGGGTTGAAGCAATCCAAAGGCAGGTAGCAAACTGGAGCACTTCCTTCGAGGATGTGTTGCCTTCGGTAGATGCCCATCCAGTCCTGCCCAAGGTCTATGCTGGCATGCTGTGCGTGGGTGTCAGAGGGCAAATATCTGTGCTAGTCGCTGCGTGCGGACGTTTGTCTGAGCAGGAACATTACCAACTCGTGGTATATAGTATGATGTACACGCAGCGCTACTTATCCATCCATAGGGGCCGGTTTCGTGATAGCAGTAGCAGCAAAGGCGGTCAAGGCCATGGTACAAGTAGTACTGCCAGCACATGACGTAGTACTGTAGCAGTCGTATTTGGAGTAGTTTTCGTCATCTCGGTGGTAGTTCTCGTAGAAACGGTGTTGTAGAAGCAGCTCCGGCAGTAGCAGGAGTAGTAGTAGTAGTAGTAGTAGTTGTTGTAGTAGCAGTAGTAGTAGTAGTAGTAGTAGTAGTAGTCGTAGTCGTAGTAGTAGTAGTAGTAGTAGTAGTAGCAGCAGCAGCAGCAGCGGAGGATGGCATCAGCAGCAGCGAGCAGTGACCTAGCAGCAACAGTACAAGGTTGCGAGATGTTGCGAGACGACGGTGGCGACAAGCGGGAGCTCGGACCTAACGTGAAGACGTCTTTTTTTAATCCGGTCAAATGTCAAAGCTGAGACAGCTTTAGCAGTCAACAAACACACCTGGCTTCACATGACAAAAATTAGCTTGAAATCATTCTTGGCACTTCGACAGCAACACAAGCCAAACTTCCTGAAACCTCGCCCCCAGCCAAACCACCCGGAAACGCTTGAAACGTTCGCTCCTTCAACTCCGGCTCCAAGTCATAGGCCAGTCCTGACAAACATCATAAACCCTATATACCCTAAACCGTGAAAAGCCGAGGCTCTTAGAACAAGCCCTATGAAGCCTTGACAACTTTACGATATGTCCTCGGCGTCTGAATGTCAATGTTTTTTTTGTTGGTATTGGCCCGTGTCATGTCATCATCCAATGAACTTCCACATGCATGTTCAAACATGCCACGTCCAGACAACCTAAGTCCGGGAGCAGCCCTCAAGATACAATTCATACAGTACAAAGATCTATCTTAGATGTATCAGCATCTGGTTGCAAGTTTTGGTGACGACACGGTGCTGATTTGGACTTCCTGTTGCTAGTCCTTTAACCTGCGTCACCACATGCTTTAAATCAAACAGTTCACGGAAATCCTAAACCCTTATCCAACTGTCACTGCCTTCCAACACCTCACTGTCGTTCGGCCATCGAAGTCGGCAAAAGCTCTGCCAGAGCGCACCTGACCGGCATGGCGTTGGTCTCAGGGCGATCTCCGTTGCGATGGCCGTTGTGGGGACAGTCCCGATTGTATTGAGGGAATCCATCGGCCGGCAGGTGGTCGTCGGGGAGAAAAACGTAACGCAATAAAACACTTCATGACACACACACACAAGATACAGTTTGGCGCAAAATTACACCTCATTGAGCCTGCCCTCAGCTGGCAGACAATTTGACGGCGACAGTGACGACCAAAACGTTGGCGACGACGATGGCAAGCAAGATGACAACAACCACAACAGCAACAACAACAACAGCAGCAACAACAGCGACAGCAACAGCACCAGCAGCAAGCCATGCCTGCCAGTGTGACGTTGTGCCATCTGAAGCATACAGAGGAGCTGTTCGCGACCTTGGGTGCAATGCATGCAGACTGAATTGGTGCGCATCTTCGACTACCACGCCGGAACAGTCCTCGTATGTATATACCATAAGTAAGCAAAGCCACGATGCCCACCTACATCTGAGCTGAGCACAGCCGAAACATCATCCCGGCCACCCAATCGAAAGCACAAGCCCTCTTCTCTGGAAGCGCCTCTGCCCTACCGCCACCACAACCCATGAGGATGTGTACCTCCAGAGGATGCAGAAAGCCAAGGATGTGCTCCAGTGACTTCTCCTGCTCACTTTGCAAGCTTGGGCTACCAGAACTGCAGCTCATCATTCTTCATGCTGCAGGAAAGGCCTCTGTTAAGGTTTCGGATCACTAGCCGGGTTCAGCGGTAAATACTCACCCATTCATCGACAAGACTTGCGAACTTACGACGCAGATGCAATGTGCACGGAGTCCTCGAAAGGGAGGGGGTTCGTGGCACGTCGCTTGGCATCAGTTCCCTGGTGTGCAATCTGAAGGCCAAGCGCCTGGCCAATGAAATTCTGCCTCTCAACACCTTCGACTATGACTAGCACAGGCTCTGTGGCGTGCCTCGGAGACATAATATGTCAGATGTAACACCACACCTGACCTTTAAGATACAACATAACAACAGAGCATGTGATTCATAGCATGTACACGGTACACTAAATACTAAACGACCAATAAGATGCAATCTACATCAAATAACAAATTATAGTAACAAATAATAACAAGCATGTAGTTAGATTAGGCCAATGAAATATATGAATTGTATAATACATACATACATACATACATACATACATACATACATACATACATACATACATATATATATATATACATACATAGATTAAAAGTTGCAAATAAGACATCATCATACACTGGAAATGTAGATAGATAGATAAATAGATGGATAGGTAGATAGATAGACAGATAGGTAGACAGATAGATAGATAGATAGATAGACAGATTGACAGATAGATAGATAGGTAGATAGATAGATAGATAGATAGATAGATAAGTAGATAGATAGATTTATAGATAGATAGAGAGGGAGGTAGGTAGGTAGGTAGGTAGGTAGGTAGATAGATAAGTAGATAGTTAGATAGATAGATGGACACATGGATGGATGGATAGATAAATAGATAGATAGATAAATAGATCGATAGACAGATAGATAGATTAGGTATAGGAACCCAGCACATCCGAGTGGCCTCCTGATAAGCCTTGGTGGTCACTGAGGCATCTCCCTTTGCAGCCAGATCCCCGATCTGCTCGTAGAGGGCCCTTAGCTCGGACAAAGCAAGGCGAGGTCTGTAGGGGCTCTTGGTAGTCTGGTGATCCTTTCTTTAGAATCTTCGCGATTCTTTGTGAAACCTGCAGCATCTCCATCCAAAGTTGCTCCGGAAATCAAACAAGCAGCCGAATAAGACCATCAGGCCAAAGAATGACTTGCCTGTCTGCGTTCTGCGCAGCCGAAGTCCCAAGCACAAATCTACGCATTCTTACCGCAGTGCTGTGGCCACGTCCTCTAACGGAAAACAGCCACGAGCTTCTGCAGCTTCAAGTAAATCAAGAAAACAAGGATTACGAACAGGACGATCGCCAAGCACCAGACCATGGCCTGATTGCCCTGCATGCGGCGGGACATCATCGACAAGAACATCTTGGACGTACCAAGGTGATCGTCGACGTCATGCAGATGGCCCTTCGTCCGCTTCAGTGCATCCCGCTGGTCGGTGAGCTCGGACATCACGTCCATGCCAATGCTCTCGGCCTCCAAAGCCGTCCGTCGGGAGTCCTCCAGGCGGCGGGCACCGGCCCTCAGCCGCTGTGCCGAATCTCGCTGCGCCTTCTCATCAAGATTCGCCGAGCCGCGCAGCAAGCCTTCCCGGTTCAGCCGCGCTTGCACGTTGCGAACCAAGGTCCTGCTGGCCAGCAACTCCTGCTTGTACTCCTTCAGTTTCCCAGACAGGGCCGCGCCAAGCGAGCCCATGGACTTCACCTCGAACTCCATTTGCTGAAAGGCCTGTGTCGCGCGCTCCTGCGCCTCAACCATCTCTTGCCCCGCGGCGCAGCGCTCCTGCGGCGGGCCGGCGCCTTCGACTACCGATGCCAGGGTGCGCAGCTGCAGCATCAACTGCTTGTAGTCTTCCTCATAGGACTGGAAAACCTCCGAGATCGTGACAACAGGCTGCGAGCCTCGCATTTCCAGAGCCAGGGGATGGACCGAAGCCGAAGCTCATGCCATTGCACCCATCGACTAAGGGTGTTCGTGACCTAACCTCCGTGATCGGATCTTTGGCTGGGATTGCTTGCGCCAGTGTGGTCTACGAAGATGAGTGCGATGCTGATTTTGCACATCTGCAGGCGGCCCGTGCGAAGAGCACGGCTGCTGCATGTAGCTCGTTCGTGCTCCAGCCAAAGCTTGAGCCAAAAATGGAGGGTTTCGCGTCCAGCTGCGGTGCGGAGAGGTATATATCTATATCTATATCTATATCTATCTATCTATATAGAGATATATGCCAACCTGGCATCTCATGGCTGGAGGCCTAGAGGCGGCTGGTCCAAGTCGAAATCCTACAGCATGGGGCCTCTATATATGAATACGTCGCTCGCATTTCAGGCTGTTACCCTTATCCCAGTCTTCGCCTACAATGCTGCGAAGTGTCGCCATGCGCCGGAACAAGGGATCGTCAGCATACCTCGACGGTGACACATGCAAAAGTGCTGCAACTCGCCAGTCAAAAGCCTTCCTTACAGGGACAGCGTGCGAGGAGGTGTCGCAGGATCCCATCGTTCTCTTCACACAACATGAGACGGCTCGAACATCCTCTACAGCAACAACATCAGCAAGAAGAGCCAACGTAACGGCGGTAGTTGCGGGCCTCAGCTCAGGATGCTAGGCCGGGGATCCCAGTACCCGAAAGGTGAAGAGGGCGGAGAGACAGTCTGTTGGGGTTGGGAAAGCAGAACAGGGTATGATCCAGGGTTGTTAGACTATCGCGGAATGAACAGCGGTCCATGATGCGAAGGATAAGCATGACAACGATGAGACTGTGATTGCAACACCGGCCCAGGTGCTTTGGAATTGCCGGCGGGGGACGGCGATCCACGCAGCGGAACATGAGCCTGCAGTGTGGAGCACGCTGTGCAGGGTACTGCATGCCCGCGTGCACCGGTTGCCGGGGATTACCAGAACATTGAAGCCTGGCCTCTTCAAGTGCTCTCCAAAGTAGCGAATTGCCAGTGCATGCATTGCGTCTTGGAAGACAGCATGATTAATACTCAGTCTCCATCCAAGCCACTCGCTCCGAGCCACATACTTGATGCCCTTGCTGACCTGCCATGGCCAAGATTGAGGTGGGAAAGCAATGAATGGCAGCCTGCGCAGCTTTAACAACTACATGTTGCGGCTTCGGATCTATAGGAGCCAAGAAAAGTAGCTCCAGGAAGGATGGCGGAACCGGTTGTGCTTGGGCGGGGCCCAAAAGAAAGATGCCAAGAGCAAGCCAGTGAATCACCAGCTGTTTGCATACATAGCCACGGACATCTTGCAGTTTGATCGTCTGTGTTCAAACGAACTCGAGTGGCTGTCAGTACATGCACAGTCGGTTGTGTGTCCATGTGTGTCCTGGTAGCATTGTCCTGGCCCCTCTCCAGGCACGAAGCAGTTTGAGCGATGTCTCTCGAGACACGAGTGAAAATTGGCTCCTTAAGATCTCTTTCAAGTCTCCTGATCTACAATTTAACTGCCCTGCAGCTGGGCCATGGTGGGCTTCACAGCGCAGTTGCGACAGCCAGTCATTCAGACCTGAAACCCTTGTTTACACCACGAGACTATATTCTATCTACTACAGTACACTCAAACTTACTAGAATATATTCTACTATAATATACCACAACATATTCTACTATAATAGACTATAAGACGTGATATGTGGCTTTCCGGGCTTGGGGGAGATCCGGCCTCAAGTCCAGCATGTGGAAGGTCGTGTGGAAGCAGCACCTGAGCTCCGATGCTCTCCTCCCGGTGCTAGAGAGATAATAGATTTATATGTATGCATGCATATGTATGTATATATATACACACTTTTTACATACCTCTATGAACAGGTGTACATCTGCCACAACGGACAGAAACTAACGCACAGTTGAAAAGCAACGTGCTGCGCTTAACATCGGAACTATTCTGTCCCACACTGCCCCTGCATCACATGAGCAATCCGACCGGCACATCATAGAATAGAACGTGACGAACTGGCGAACTTCAAAAAGGAAGGACGGCACAACATAAATATCGAGGCACCATGGTGCATCATATGTAGCATCATGATACACAGTGGAAAGGAGATGCAGCAAAGCAACCAAAGGGAGCAGCGCAGAAGCTTTGATGTTGTTTTGGGCACATCAATCGCTGTGCTATATAAATATAATATAAGGTACCCCTCTCTTCAGAGACACTTATCTCATCTTATCTCTCTTTGCGGCTTCAGTGCTGCAGTGCCGGCTGTCGGCCGGAAGCGTTTGCCGGAGTCGGTGAATTCAAGCTCGCCACCCTCGTAGTCCTTCTTCAGGGTGCGGATGCTAGCATGGGCCGGTGGGTGCGAGACCTTCTGTTTTTTGTACATGACGCCGTAGAGAAGAACCCAAATTAAAGGCAGCCGCTCAACCAAATCCGAAGGCCCGAGCAAACCCTTCTTTGCAACTACCCCTTGTGCTTGATTTCATACTGTCGGAAGTAGACTATATTCCCTGTATGTGGCTCCAACATGCTTTGACATTGCATGCGAGGGAATCCAATATCTGCAACTCCGCAGACTTACATATAGCCACCATGCCATATTCAGCACGGAAGTCGGAATCTGCGAGCTTGGCGGGTATGGCAGGGACGTCGCTGCATCAACTCGGCACGATACCTCAAGTGACAAACTGAAAGGGTGCTGGCGTGGTGTGCCTAGCCTCGTTCAGGTACAGGACGACGGAGTAGATACTGCACTCGTCGTTGTCGTTAGCATACATCCCGTCGCAGTGAGTTGCAAAGTGCTCTCCCTCCTGCAAGGCAGGCGACGCAAGCGTGTCTTTGTGTTTGCCATGGCCAGCATCCTTCACTGCCCAGCGATCTCTTTTGCTAGAAGAGCTAGGCTGCCCGAGGCCCGAGCAGGGCCGCAGCTTCCTTTTGATGGGGCAGCTGTATAAAATTCCCAGCATGTCTCGACAGGGCCACTTCGGAAAAGCTGCAGTTACCGTTGTCCAGATATCTTTTTGTTGGAGCAGTAACAGTGCACATGCCCTCATGCCCGCCTCACCTCCGGATCATTGAAAACTAAAACTCTTTTAACCATAAATCTTGACCGACAACTTCTAGTAGGTATTCCAACATGTTCCCGAGACCTGCTTTACCAATCGCAAAAACAAGTTCTGCTCCAGCATTGAAGAATTTTGAGATGAAAACCCCATGTCGTATATACATCACTTCACCCAGGAAATCCTTGTACTGCGAGATGCGAAAGCACGGGTTGATGCCAACCGGCTTCCTGCAGTGGTCACGGACCGGTTTGGGGCTCGGGCTGCTGCTGTGACTACGACGGCGACGATTGCTACTCGTACTGCGGTTCGACTGCTGAAGGAGTGACATGACAAGGGAAGCTTCGGATTCTGGAATCGTTGGATGGCTTGAGTAGATGGTGCTTCCATAGAGCGATACAGCAACAAATAAACCTCCGATGCAAAGCCTGACATCGAAAATGTCCTGGTGCAAATGAAAGGCGTTTCGGGGCTAGAGGAAACGCTCTCCTTCCTGAACAAGCTGCATGCGTTACCTTGTACTGCAGCCTCTCTCACAGCCTCCGTGCCTCGAACTTAAACTCTCCAGCATAGCAGCTTCGCCCCCAAACCATATATGCCACATGAATTTGAGGGGGGCCCTAAAAAAAAACCAAAAGACCCCGGAAGGTCGGAAGAAGCCTTCCTCTGATACCAAAAAAAGGATTCTGAAGGAGCCAGGAGGCCATCGACCCTCGGCCCCGAAGCCCATCGGCTGCACGAGATACACCTTAGAGAGGGTCCTGGGGTTTAGGGCAGGGAGCTTAGGGGGGGGGGGGTTAGGAGGTTTCGGGTAAGATCGGAAAATTAAAACGTGCGGAAAAGGCCGTGCTTTTTGCGTTGCAACTTACAACGTTCACGTCATGAGGCCGAGGGTTGGGGCAACTGAGGGTTTAGCGTCTCTGCGGCTTTCGAATTATACCTGCCTGAGGCTGAGGACCACCGAGGACCACTGCGTACTGCAGGATGTGTGATCTTCCCAGTAACAAGAGTGTGTCACCAGGTGTTGTACGGTTCATGGCTAGCACAGGGTCTTTGGGCTTTCGGCAGGATATTGAGGTCCCCATGCCCTGAAGCTTCAGGTAGGTTTGGGTCCTCAACCTGAACTTGTTCGCTGAGGGTTGCATCCCGAAGTAAGGATCCTGGCACACAAAGCCTGCTTAGTTCATAAGCCCTGCACCTCTAGCTGAAAAGCTGAAGGGAAGAGGCCTCAAATGTGACACTAGCAAGTCCTCATCATGCTAAAGCTGTGGCCGAGCGCCAAGGGTCTACGACGCTGTCGACTGAGCTTTGGACCGGAATTACCCCGGCGCTAACTCAAACAATGCATGGCAAAGACAACAAATACTAGGCAGTCTGTTGACAGGGCTTACTAGTTATGTCGACAAACTGAATCTAAACCCGGCCCTAAACCAACCCTATAACTTTCTGCAGAAGCCAAGCTCATGCGCTTGCATTGTGAGCCCCGAGGGCCTTAGCCTAGAAAGCTGCGGGGTCTCTGTTAGCTTCAAACTTCCGAGGTTTCCAGAGCCGCAACATCCAATGCCCAGCAATAGGGTTTAGGGTTTAGCAAGGGGCCCAGAAACTGCAGATCCTCACACAGACTTCATTCAAACATTGCAGAGTTTCATTCGCAGCCCCGAACTTTGACAGTTTGAGACTACTCCCATGGAGCAAGCACCGGTACTGTTCTCCCAGGCACGTCGCGATGGGCAAGGTAGGGTGCTAGCCGTCTGTACCTCCAGTCAGCTGACTTGCATGCAAAGGAAACGCTGGAGTCAATTTTGGTGTTTATCCTCTCGTGTTTCGTTGAGGCCGGCTTCGTGCTCACTGGAAGTGGTCCTCATGTCGAAAGCAGTACATGTTGCGGTACACGACCTGACAAGGCTTGCGGGCTCAAAGTACGGTTCAAGCACTGTGACCGGAAGGATCCGGAAGACATCGAGTGAAATAGCTACTGACAATGAGATGCAAGAATTTTTTGCTCTTTCGCAGCCCGGCTTAGCACTACATTAGCCTGCCACCCAAGGCGCAAGGCTAGAGCAAGCGCATCGCTGAAGTGGATCAGACGCGAATTGTTCCGCAGCGATGCAGGGAACTCCCGTGAAACATCGCTGTGGCCAAAACCGCTTCTCCTCGTGCAGCGGTTTGAAGAAGTTGTGAGTTGGGGTTAAAAGGTGTCAGAGCAAAAAGTTGCACGGTACGTGATAGCTGCATGATAGATCGATTTGCATCTGCACAATAGGAGTAAACAGAACTATCGTCGTTGTAGTCGTTGTACAGCTTGAACAGTACAGTAGTACACACTACACACACTAATGATGATAATACTGTAGCAGGCGCCTGCCAAGCATTTGCATCAAGCAGGATCGCTGCATGGGTCTCGTTCTGCACATATTCGCAGACTGTAGCATTGAAAACGGCGGCTGACTTCGAGACTCTTGTAGTGTTGGTAGGTCAGTGTGAGCTTGGACCTTCTGTTGATTTAGGCGATTTTCGACTACTTTATACATCGCTCTCGAATTGAAACTCTTGCGCATACACCGAACAGTAGCCGCCAGTGTTGGACTGTATCTGGGGTGTGGTTCAGGGCTACTTGTTATTCGTAAAAGTGTCGTTGGCCTGCTGTGCCAAACCCAAAACCCCCAAACCCCCAGCCCTTGCTTCGATGCTTTGCCGGCCTCATTTTCAGAGTGAGTCAATGCCGACATTCCCAGCTGTTCGTGGCGGTGATACATGTGTTGCATCTGCCAGTGTTGGTTTGGACCAGGACAAGCGCTGGACGATGTCTGCATGACTACTCCTCCTCTCTGTTAACCTCTCAGCATGCCTACAACTCGTGGCGACCAGAACCTCACCCTTCATAAGTCTTAGGCTGGTGTCTGGGCTGAGGCCACGTAGGTTGCAGCTTCCGCCGGCGTGAGGATGTTCCGGAGCGCAAATGCACGGCCAACCTTGCCGGTCAGGTTATAATTATAAGGGCCCCGAAAAAGGCTTGAGGCTGTCAATACCAGAAAAATGCGGTTCAGGGAACGCTGGGTTTCATGATGCCACGGTATGCATTCCCAGCACGTTGACAAAGCTGGGACCCTCCTGACAGGATGATGCAGGGAGCCATGGTATTGGGTACAACTGCAGGGTCTAATCTTTGGCTGTCGCGGTGCACGGAAGGGTATGTGTCAGCATCTCGCTGTTAAAATCTCCTAGTTCCCGTTCTGCGAAGCTTCGATAGCTTCTGTTCAACTGGCAGGGGCCTATCAACGGGCCTATCATACGGAATGAGCTCTGGAGTGCTACAAACTCGTGCCGGTTTGGGCTTGAGTGTTTCCTCCCCTACACCTGCTCGAGGAGAGGGACCTTGGGATGTTTACAGCTTTCGGGACCCCTGAACGCAGAAAGACCACGGAGCTGCTCACGCGACATCCTGAAGCCAAACTGATGTGCTGCCCGCGGCACGACATCTTCGCGCACGATGCTCGGCGTAGCGGTGAACAAAGTGTCAGGGGTGTCTAGCTCCACCTGCATCAGCATCCGTGACACTCCTTCACAACCCAATCTTCTGAAGACCGTAAGCAGAAAATAACCTCGAAAATGAGACTGGGTACTTATCTCCGAACCCTAAACCACTTCTTCCAGTCCGGGAACGTGGCGGCTGCGTGCATCGTACACTGAATGAGCAGCCGAGGTCTCTTGCGACTCGCATTCTGCTCCAGCTTCCCCTGTCCGTCCAGACCGCAAGAAAGGGAGTTTCAAAAACTAAGGAACGTAATATAAAACCGGGCATAGAACCCTGTAAGCTGTAGACTCCTTTATCTACCTGAGCTGCAAGCCCTGTTTTCTGAAAAAACCTCCCACAGGGGAGTGTGCTATTTCCGAGTCATGACAAAACGCAGCCCAGACCTTGCGCTGAAGGCTCCAACAAAACGAGCTCGTCTAAATCGTGCGTCGAGACCCAAGAAAGGCAGTATGTTCGGGGTTAGGAGGGACTTTCATTCGCTTAATTTGGAGAACTTGTCGAATCGCACCGCTAAAGAATGAAAAAAACACCAATCCAGCAGCAGCCATGCAGGCAGACCGCCACCACCCCACCACAAGCACCACCACCAACGACCATCATCATGACCACAAATGCAAACGACGTGGCCATCATGACCATTATCATCTCGGCACCTTTGCGTCGAGGCCGCATGAGTGAGGCCGCCAGCTGGCTCATGTCTGAAGGTATCCAGTCCTAAGGTCGGCGTCTGTGTTGTCACATGGATGTGGGCCAGAAAGCCATGCTTGACTGGCGGTAGAGCCACGCATTGTCTTGAAGTCTGAGCGGGACCCGAAAACGAACCGAAGAGAAGCCGGCATGCCCCTGTCACCCTTGTCGAACTCGAAGCTCAAATGGCTTTTGCCCTGCTGAACGTGGGGAGGGCCAAACCAGGACTTTACAGCCGCGTGTCGCGACCAGGATGTTGCCATTGTGACACACCTGTCAGTGCACGATGAGAGGAGAGACTCCTCAGAGTTTGAAAACCCCTGTATCGATTCCCGTCTTACAGGAAAGCGGAAGCATGGAGCCTCCATGCATCCAGTTACATCTGCATGCTTGCAGCGGTCAGAAATCATATGTTGGACATAAACATGCACAGGTACATCATTGCCATATACCTCGCACAGAACATCAAAATTGCACACCTCTGATGACTAGATACCTGACTTTTGTCCTTCCATGCAAAAAACTCCTGCAACACAAATAACAAACACACACACACACACATGCACAAATGCTCAAAAGAACCGAGACATGCCCTCGCATGAGTCTATATCAACCCCAAGAAGACAATGCTACGAGGGATGCCATTACAGAACGACACAACAGGCAACACCAGTGTGCCCCG